AGAAGGTGGGAGAGTGTAAGGATTTACAAATTCTTACTGAGGCACTCGTTAGCGAGGCAATCCCGAGGGTCACGCGACGAACCTGTTCGGCCTATTTCGTCGCTCCGAACCACCCCCAAGTCGGCCTCCGCCCCAATCGCAACATCACCTAGCCATCCATTCCCGACCTCTCCACCTGGCTAGCTTTTCCCCTATTTAAGTCTCGTCACTTTCATTGTATGGGCATGCAATATTCAACCATCCTCGTTATTCGTTATTCTGCGCACTCCGCAAGTTCATTCATGACACCGACAAACGCAGGTGGATATTGTAACGGCTGGTCCAAAGTTGATCATTCCTCTCCGAGATCGACGGCCTTGGCATGTCTCGCACTCGTGGGAGGGCACATCGCTACCGACGAGCAGAAAAATACGCGCATAGATTTTGTGGAAATCGGGCAGGAACCAGCCTGGTCCCTCCTCCTGAACCACCAATTCGCACGAACTTCCAGTTGTCGCCCACGAACCGACTGTCAGGCTGATGCCTCGTCGACTCGCAGGAAAGGTACGTTTTCCCGCGCGAAAGTACTGTCATGAAATCAAACATCACCAGACCAGACAACCTGGGCGAAAGAAAAGGGAGTACGTTTCCTCGCACGGATCCCGTTGCAGGTGCCATTAACGATAACCTTCTTGTTCGTAGCTATACTGTTACAGTAACAGGCTTCTCCATCTTCCACTCCTTCCACGAGCTCTGCTCCCCGCGCAAACCGTCTGATTTGTGTAACTAGGAAATCCATTTTGTTGTCAAAGCCTCTCAGATCAGAGCCACTTCCAGACCACTTCCAGCGAGCCTCAGATCAGAGCCGGTCACTTCTTGTAACTTAATCACCTCTGGTCTCAGACCGTTTTCTGGCGGGTGACTGAGTATTAGGCCTTCAAGATGAGTGATGCCGGGGACAAGGTGTCAGAGAATGGAGGCGAGACCCGGAGAATCCCTCCTCCTCCATCGCCGATCAGGCAGTCTAAATATTCTAGCGTACGTGATAGTTGATTTTCTGTTCCTCTGTTGTAAAAAAACTTGTCTTTCTTGGTGCTTAGCTTGCAAACACGCATCTACTTGATTTACGTCATGGTCGGACGTTGAAGGGAGTGATCGTTTGAATCCGATGGCATTGTATAGCGTTATTCCCAGTCTCTGCCTTCAGAAAGTAGAGCTAAAGCTACCGTTTTCTTAGTTGGCGTTTTCCTCCTCTCGAGTTTTTCACTTACGCTCTGTTTTTCTGTTCTCTCCCTTTCTCTTTCCTCCTTTTTGGTTGCTTGTATTTCTCTCGTGCAGCCTCGCCTGAGAGTGCTTGTAACAGGAGGTGCGGGATTTATTGGATCTCACCTTGTAGACAGGCTTATGGAAGCCGGCCACGAGGTTCGTTTGTCCGACTGACTTGCTATTTCATCCGACATGTCATTCATGTGACGGTTCATTTCCTTTTTCCAGTTTTTAAGGTTACCGTTTGTGAGCTAGTATGCAATGATGCCTTGAACATTGTTTCCTGTTGTCTCGATTTCAGGTTATTGTAGCCGACAACTTTTTCACTGGGACCAAGGACAATATTCGACAGTGGATCGGCCACCCAAACTTCGAAATCATTCGTCATGGTACGAATGCCTAACTACCTTCCCAGATGTGTCCGTCTGATCACACGGTCCTTTCGGCTACTTGAGCGGAACGTTCTTGTAAATGAACATTCTCTGTATATAACGTGGATTGCTCGAGTTCGCAGATGTCACGGAGACTCTTCTGGTGGAGGTGGATCAGATTTACCATCTGGCGTGTCCTGCTTCGCCGATCTTCTACAAGTATAACCCGGTGAAGGTACGCACCAAATTTCACAGATAATCTAGTAAGGGGACCCGTGCAGGGTGAGAAAATGTTTGGATGTCAAAAACAATTTAAGCATGCAATTACATTTAAATCCGCTGCTTATCTGCGATGTTGATGGCGAACGCGGATTTATTTTTGTTTCTGGTCTTCGCAGACCATCAAGACCAACGTGATGGGTACACTGAACATGCTTGGACTTGCGAAGCGAGTGGGAGCAAGGTAAGGACTAATGTTCTGCTTCTACCTTGCTCAACTCACTCTAGCTTTTTTTTACCACATGCATTTGATTTACGCATTCGTCAACCTGGCGTTTTTCGAAAGAAAGAAAAACGGCTTCACCTCTCATCACTGCCACGAATGTTCCCTTTTTTCTTCTCTTGTCCTCTTCGTCGTCATCCGTCCTGCTCCTCATGTAGGATCCTCCTTACTTCAACGTCAGAGGTGTACGGCGATCCCTTGGAGCACCCGCAGAAGGAGACCTACTGGGGCAACGTAAACCCGATCGGTGAGTGCTTGTTGGGCAATTTCTGGTTCCCTCTCGCTCTCCCTCTCCCCCTCCCTCTCCCTCTCCCCTCGCTTACCCATTCTTTCCCCCTCTCCCTCCCTTTCCCCCGTTCCCCCCTCCCTTCCCCCTCCCGCTCTCTCCTTTCTCAGGCGTGCGGAGCTGCTACGACGAGGGCAAGCGAGTGGCGGAGACCCTCATGTTCGACTACCACCGGCAACACGGCGTTGGTACGTCGCAAGAACCGTTCGGTCCTTTGGAAAGGGGGAATGCGGTGTGGACTGGGAGAGGGTGTTTTGATGGGGAAAGGATGCGGTGTCGTTAATGGGGAATTTTCGCCACGAAGGGGAAAGGAATGAAGCAATGGTGCAATGATCGCAACGGTGAAGCAAACCAAAGTAGATAGCTTGATGCTGATCGGAGGTTAGTCTTGTGTTCATTCCCCGGGCCTCCCAGCCTCCCATCCCACACTTCCCTTACGCTCCCACGCTTCGATTTCGTTCTCTCTTTCTCTCCTTCTCCTTCGCTCCCTCGCTCCCCTCGTTTCTCTATCTCACGCTGCCAACGTCAACCACTCTGCACCACACTGAACCCCTTCTTCCCTCCCACTTCCCAATTCTGCACATCAGAGATCCGGGTGGCGCGCATCTTTAACACCTATGGACCTCGCATGAACATTGACGACGGACGTGTCGTCAGCAACTTCATTGCCCAGGCCTTCAGGTGAATGTTCCAACTCGGTTGGTTTTATCCCCTTTGCTGACGTTTCCGCTGGACCTGGGGGACATGTCGTTTGCTCCACCAGCCACTCGTCGTTGTATTTTTTTCAGTTGTCGCTGATCATTATCTCATTTCATGTCTTTCCGATGTCTAATCTCATGTCTCCTCAACCATCCCTGCCTCCTGTTTGCTGACCTGTTCAGGAATGAGGAACTCACGGTGCAGGCCCCAGGCACACAGACCCGTAGCTTCTGCTATGTTGCAGACATGGTATGTGGTTGCTGATGTGGTATGCAGTCGTTGACGTGGTATGCGGTTGCTTATGTGGTTTGTGGTTGCTAACTTGGTATTTGGTTGCTAACATTCTACGTGGTGCTGATGCAACAGCATGCCACTATCATGCCCATATCATGTCAGCTCCATGCCAACCCCATGCAAGTGCCATCCATATTCTGTTCTCATTTGGGCTTGTACATATCTTGGCACTCGCGGCTTCTTGCCTCCGGCTTCTTGCCTCCACCTTTATGTCCTGCATCAGCCTCTTGTGTTTATCACACCACCTCTCAAAGGTTATCACCCGTATTCTCTCCACTCAAGCCTCTTCATCCTCGCAGTTAAATGTATTCATACATGTATCTGCTTCCTCGCTGCCTGCTCTCTCCATATCTGCTTCCTCCATATTTGTTTGCTTTCTCCCGGTCTGCTCTGTCCTTCCCTGCCAACTTCCTCCTCGTGTGTGCAGGTGGACGGACTGATCAAGCTCATGGAAGGCCCTGTCACTGGCCCCATCAACCTTGGCAACCCTGGTGCGTGGGTCAACAAGCATGACATGTTGTGAGACGTGTGCTGCACTTGTGGGCCTGTCTGTTCCTCTTCTTTTCCTTGATACATCCACCCAGTGTTTTCTAGCCGCTTGTGGACCTGTCTGTTCCTCTACCCTCGCATCAGCTCTGCTACTCTGCTATTTCCACCTTTTCTTCTTTCTCTCCCTCCAGGCGAGTTCACCATGCTAGAGCTTGCAGCTGCTGTCAAAGAGGTGCGTTTTCTTGTCTGTTGGTTGCTGTAGCATTGTGTGCAAGCTCCGCACATTTGGGATTCACGCACTGAGCCTCCTTTACTCGTACCATTTTGTCGCCCATTGGTTTGTCTTTCGTATTTTGTTATTTATACCCCCAACCCCCCTGCCCCCGCTCTCTCGATGCTTGTGTAGTTGATTGAGCCATCTGCCTCGTGGAAGATTGTGGAGAACACACCTGATGATCCACGCCAGCGCAAGCCAGACATCACCAAGGCCAAGGAGATTCTTGGATGGGAACCCAAAGTGCGTGTTCTTCCCGCTTATCTACTTTCAGCCGAGTTTTCGTGTACCGGCTCTGAGGTTTTTTTCTCATTTTTTGTTTCTTGATTTTTGTTTTTTTTTTTGCAGGTGGCCCTGCGAGAAGGCTTGCCATTGATGGCTGAAGACTTCCGTAAGCGGCTCCATGTCTCCTAGGACTTTTTATACCCTAGTGCTGATGAGGTAGTCTGAGACAAATAGTTTGTTCAAGTTATCAGCTGTGGTAACATATTCTTTGCATGCTTAACTCGTAAGGGCTGCTGGAAGGACGCTCTGGTCGTAGCAAGGGCTGAAAACATGTGATAGTGGTAGTTCAATATCGGATGCCATATTAAAATGTCACTTTTTCTTGCAAACAAAGCGTTCGGACAACCTGATCGTATCAAACAGTTGTGTTATAGCGGGGACGAGTCGGCGCTCCTAACTCCTGGATGTACAGTGTACACCCACCTCATCCATTCAACCTGCTGAACCTTCAACTGCGGGATTCTCTGCTGCCACGTCGTTCCTTGAGAATTTCCAGCTTATCCGTCACGCGCGTTACCTTAGCGCCTGATTACGTGGCTTGAAGCTACCTGAGCCATGGCGCTGCTTGCTCCGGCCGCGGCTGTCTTCGAGACCGCTGTATCCGTGCCACGTGTCGCCAAGACAGTGGCTCCAGCTTCTCGCGTCGCTTCGCGTGGAGTGTTCCTCCTGCCCGTGCGATCTCGAGGCGCATTTGCGAGGCGCTCATCCTTGATAACACGCGCCGCGGCTCAGCAGCCGGAAACGCAGCAAGCGGAGAGCGCTGCGAGCCCAGTAGTGGATGACGGCAACAGCAGCGATGTTGACGTCAGCAAAGAAATCTCCAAGGTTCGAGACGAGACGCGTTGACACGGCGACGCATTGCCGGTTTTGCCCGCTTTGGCTGCTGCGGCGTTGCGGTTGCGTTCAGAATGATGAGCGAAAGATGTCCGCTTTGGCTACTGCATTTGCCTCTTTTCTTCGCACGGGTCGCGTTATGCGCGTTAGACGGTGCCTCCCGAAGAATAAAGAAAATTAGCAAATGCGCCTCAAAGAAATTCACAGCTTAGCACGACTTGGTGGGGTTCTTCCCCTCTCGCTCTTCCTCTTTGTCTCCCTCTCCCTCTCCCCTCCCCCTGCCTCTCCCTCTTCCTCTTCCTCGCCCTCTCCACTCTTCCTCTTATCCCCGACTCTCGCGTTTTTCACGCGAATTCTCTTCCGCCTCCCGCTATCCTTGCCCTCTCCACCTCCTACTGCTATTCGTGCTTCACTCTCGCCAACCTATCACATTCCAATCTCAACCCCGCCTGCTTCGCCCTCTCCCTCTCCTACGCTCAACCGCCCGTCCCCCATCTCTCCCCACTCGCTCCCCCATTATCTTCCCACGTACATCTCCCATCCTCCCGCCTCTACCAATATTTCCCCCATTATGCCCCAATCATTCCTCCATAATTCCCCATCGTTCCACCATAATCCCCCCTCCCCACTCACACCCCCTGAACAGGACGGCAAGAGCATAGCATCCTTGCCTTTCCCTGTGTCGACCCTCGCTCTTCCTTTCCTTCCTCCTTCCCTTCTTCACCCTCTTCCTTTCCTCCACTTCCATCTTTACTTTCCCCTCCTCTTACCCCTCCTCTTACCCCTCCTCTTACCCCTCCTCTTACCCCTCCTCTGCTCCTCTCCTCCTCCCCACCCCCTCGGCTTTCCACCCTTACCCGTTCTCTTTATCAACCACTCCCTCACTCGCTCTCCCTTCCCAATACCCAACCTGTTTAACCCGTTTCGTTCTCCTCCTTTCCTGCCCTCACGCGCCCACGCAACTACGCACCTCTTCCCTTCCCCCTCTCCTTTCCCTTTCCCTTCGCCTCATCCGTTCCCCTCGTCAGCCCCCACGCCTCTAACAACCACAACCACTCTATTAAGTGGTAAAGAAGGCAGCAACCACAACTACACCACGTTAGCTTCGTCCTGCAAGCATCCACTGATTCAAAGAACCCCGCAAGCAACCCAACCGCGTGCTGTGCTTACCTTTGCTCTCCCTCCCTCCCCATCCCCCCCTCGTCTTCCCTCCCTTCCCTTCCCTTCCTCTCCCTCCCACTCCCTTCCACTCCCTTCCCCTCCCCTTACTTCTCCCCCCCACCAGGTAGTAAAGAAAACATCAACGACGTTCCCTCCTCTCCACCTCTCTTCCCCCCTCTCCACCCCTCTTCCCCACCCAAACCCTCCTCCTCCTTCCCCTCTCCCACGTGCATCCACCGGTCAAAGAACCCAGAAACCTAGCCGTGCTGCGCCTGCCTTTGCTCCCCCTCCCCTCCCCTCCCCTCCCATTTCCTCCCTTCTCCCCCCCCCCCCCCCCCCTTCTCCTTCCCTCTCCCCTCTACCTCAGGTGGTAAAGAAGACAGCGACCACGTTCGCCCCGCGCGCGTCCACCAAGTCAAAGAACCCGTTCCCCCTTACCGTTTCCCTTCCCCCTCGCCTCTTCCCCTCCCCCTAACCCCCCCACCAACTTCCCCCTACCTCAGGTGGTAAAGAAGACGGCAACCACGTTCGCCCCGCGCGCGTCCACCAAGTCAAAGAACCCCGCCGTGCCCGGATCAACCCTCTACACCATCTTCGAGGCGCAGGCCTACCTCAGCGCCGCGCTGGGCGGACTGCTCTCCTTCAACCTGCTCTTCCCGTCCGATGAGCCCGACATCTGGCGCCTCATGGGCATGTGGTCCATCTGGATGTTCAGTGAGTGGCGTGATGGAAGTTAAAACTGGATTGGAGCATGCATGCATTCATGCATTCCATATCTGGGCACCAGCTATGTTATGTATATGCTAATGTACCAGCTATGGAATGTATACGGCTGAAGCCATGCTCATGGGCATGTTGATTTCCATCGTCCACCATCCCTCTTTAAGGCTTTTCAAAACTCATTCCTTTTTTTTTTTTGTTAAGATGCAATTCTTCCCTCCTGTCCCCCCCTTCCACCCCTCCTCTCCCTCCCCCCTGCCCTCCAGCCATCCCATCTCTGCGAGCAAGGAACAGCAGTGAGAAGGAGAAGACAGCACTCAACTGCCTCTCCCTTGTTCACCCTGCTCCCTTTTTCACCCTGCCGCTCACCCAACTTCCGCCCCTCTTGCGCACCTCACTCATGCCGTTGTAACCTTCTCACTCCCTTTCTCCTCCCCTCCCCTCCTCCCCTCCCCTTTCCTAAATTCCTCCTTCCTCCACCCCTCCAACCCTTCCTCCCCTTCCACCGCTCTCTTTGCCCCCCAGCCATCCCATCTTTGCGAGCGAGGGACTGCAGTGAGAACGAGAAGACAGCTCTCAACTACCTCTTCCTCGTCGTGCCGCTAGTCAACGTCACGCTGCCGCTCGTCTGGAAGTCCTTTGCTGCTGTGTGGACCGCCGATGTCATTGTCTTCACACTCTTCTACGCCTGGAAGGTGGGGATGGGTGGGGATGGGTTGGAACGGGTGGGAATGGGTGGGAATGGGTGGGAATGGGTGGGAATGGGTGGGAATGGCTCATGTTTGAGTGTGACGATGTTTGAGGCGTCTCAAAGCTGCCGCTCGTCTGGAAGTCCTTTGCTGCTGTGTGGACTGCCGATGTCATTGTCTTGAAACGCTCGTCTATGCCTGGAAGGTGGGAATGGGCGGGGATGGGTGGGGATGGGTGAGGATGGCTTTTGTTTTTAAGTGTGGCGGTGTTTGAGGTATCTCAAAATTGCCGCTCGTTGGAAGTCCTTTGTTGCTGTTTGGGTTTAGAGGCACCTCGAAACTCATATCGGACGGGGAGGTCATTGTCTTTATACTCTTCTACGAATCACAGGTGGGGATGGGTGAGGATGGGTGGGGATGGGTGAGGATGGTTCGTGTTGAAGTGTGAATGGCTTGAAATTCCCTCACCTCACTTGTCTCCCTTCCCCTCACTTCTACCCCTTGCTCCCACGCTCTGACTTGCTGACACACGCCTCTCCTCTGTCTAGCTGTGCCCTGCTAACGTGCACACATACGTTCACTCCCATGAGGCGATTTTTGAGTCGACTCAAAAATCACATAGGTTCGCTCCCATGCCCCACATAGTTTCATTTCCATTTTGAAATTAGCGCTCCCTCCCTCACATTTTCTCCCTTCCTCCCTCCCACTTTCCCTCCCTCTCCCTTCCTCCTTCCATCTCTCCCGTCCTCCCTCCCTCCGTTACCTCAACCCTGCGCCCGCAGCTAGAGTGGTTCACAAAGAAGGAGAGCAATTCAGACTCGTAGAGGCGCGCAGATGCAATTGACATGCCACACGTGCTGCACACATGCCACACACGTCACCACGCACTTGCAGCCCAAATGCCCTGCGCATGATACACCCCCATCGTATAGGCAAAACAGTTGGGCACATTGAATAGAAGCCATAGCAGTGGCGGCACCAGCAGCAGTAGCAGCACAGCAGCAGCACCAGCAGTTTTATTGGTGGTGTGGTGGTTATTGGGGAATATATTTCTGCCAGTGCGTGGTGCTTCTCGTTCACTCCTCTCCCTTCGTCTCTCTTCCTCTTCCTTCATCGGCAGCTCTTTCGCCACCTTTTCTTTGTGTCAATGACTCGCAAATTGCTCCGTCTTTTTGTAGCTGCATCCTTTCCTTCATTCATGCCATCTACCAGTTAAATCACACTGTATTTAGGTTAATTTCATGCATCCTGTGGTTACGGTAGTTTTAAGTTCCCTCGTTTTCTTCTATTGCCTGTGCACTCCACAAGAAAATAGTCACAACTGTGGCGTCTTGCATCCCTGAGGGTGAATAAATTATGGTTTGAACAGGCCCTTGCAAGCTAGAAAGGAGCAACAGATGAGGCGAATCTTAAGAGTAGCAAGCAAGGAGTACAAATATGAAACCCTATCTGAGTTGTACTCACTAAGGAGCACCTCACTGCAGCCTATAACAAATAATAACATTTGACACACCCCCCTAGGCTAAGTGAGGGGCATCAAAGCAAGCAGGGTGAACAAACGGTCACAAGACCAGTCAATACAAGAAGCAAAGCAAGCTCAGGGTGGATCTCAAGGACACCACACAAATTCAGAGCACAAGCAAGCGGCCACAAGGCCAGTTCAAGAGAGCACAATATATATAAAGGCAATGACAAGCAGAACACGCAACAAGAGCATCACTACAGCAACCGTGGGCCTACCTCAACAAGCCCTAGCTGCACACATAACCTGTGGTGGTTACCAGGCGCCAAGGCCTTGGTGAAGACGTCGGCAGTGTTGGCCTCCGAGGCCACAAAGTCCAAGCGTGCCTGGCCGCGTCGCTGTAGCTCTCGCTTGAGAAAACACCTCATATCAATATGCTTCACTCTGCTCTCCAGTCGAGGCTCTCGACGAAGGAGGATCATGGCCTTGTTGTCAGCGTACAAGGTTGGTGCAAAAGCAAGAAGTGTCAGAATCCCAACCACTAGACCATTGAAATAAAAGAGCTTGTGAAGTAGCGGATCAGTGCGCCCATAACCCCCCAGGACAACGAGCATGTAACCCTTCCCTAGGATCAATCGGGGATCACCAGTGGACCTCTGACACCCCCTTGCACTGGGATGCCCGAAGTGCACACACTGGGATTCGAACCCGAGACCTTCGCTCTGATACCATGTCAGAATCCCAACCACTAGACCATTGGGATAGAAGGGCTTGTTAAGTAGCGGATCAGTGCGCCCATAATCCCCCAGGACAACGAGCCTGTAACCCTTCCCTAGGATCAATCGGGGATCACCAGTGGACCTCTGACAAGAAGGTCAACCAGCGAAGCTCCTGTGCCGCCATGGCACTAGCGTAGATCTCTGCCTCTGCACTGGACGAAGCCACAGACGACGACCGTGTAGACCTCCACGACACAGCACCAGCACCCAGACTGAAGCAGTAACCCTGAGTCAAACGCTGAGTCTCCACGTCGTCTGCGTAGGAATAGTCGCAGTGACCGGTCAACACAACTGGCTGTGTCCCTCCAAGCACAAGCCCCATGCCTGATGTAGTCGCCAGGTACTTCGCCACCCTCACGGCAGCTGTCCAGTGAACACGACGGTGTCTCCCAGTCGCAACAAAACGAGAGAGGACGCTGAGGGGAAAGGCGAGGTCCGGCCGAGTACAAGTCATCAGGTACATGAGGCAGCCCACGAGCTCTGCGTATGGACCACTAGACTCAAAGGGCTCGTTGGAAAAAGGGCCAGTGAGTCGGTGGTAAGAGGAGTGGGCTGTGTGGTGGAGAACTGAAACCCGAACCGCCAAAGGACCTGCTGCACCATGTGTGACTGAGTCAGTGTGATGGTGCGAGCGGCTCTGTCCTTGGTGATCTGCAGGCTAAGGTAGCGCTGCAGTTCACCGAGGTCAGTGCACGTGTGTCTCTTCTGTAGTTCGGACTTCACCGCAGCCAGGGCAGTCCTGTCTGCTGTAGCAAAGACCAAGTCGTCGACGTAAACTAGTATAAAGAAAGGAGTGGAACCAGCGTGAACAAACAGCGACGGGTCGGCATAGGAAAGACGAAACCCAAGGTCACGAAGCGTGGAGCGAAGAGTGTCGTGCCACTCACGGGGCGACTGGCGAAGACCGTAGACTGGTTGCCTCAGGCTCCATTGGGTCCCAGGTGGGAAGGTGTCAGTGAAGCAAGGAGGATGCTGCAGCCAGATCTCCTCATGTAGGCAGCCCTGGAGAAACGCAGTGGAGAAGTCGAGGGAGTGCAACTCGTAGTCTCGCAGTGCTGCTACGTGCAGTAAGACCCGAAGAGTAGTCATCTTCGGGGTCGGGGCGAAGGTCTGGAAGAAGTCAACTCCCTCACGCTGACTGAAACCCCTAGTCACGTAGCGCGCCTTGAACACAGGCGGTGATCCAGGCGGCAACTTCACCTTGAAGAGCCACATGCCATCGACAACGTTCGCCCTGGGAGGGGGAACTGCGTCGACGTAAGTGCTTGTGGATCTCCAAGACGCTAACTCTGAGTCCATAGCCGCTTTCCACTGAGAGGCCCACTCCCCTGACACTGCCTCACGTTACGTGCGAGGAGTCGGTATGTCAAGGGCGTCGGGGTCTCCCTCAGGGGAAAGCAGCATGGCGCAGAGAGAGGGGGAAGCGGCTGCCAGGAACTCCAGCTCAAACTACCTGTCCTCTAGGACGTCACAGCCAAGGGCAGACTCACCCCCAATGGACAGAGGACGGGGAGGTGGAGCAGCCACCACACGCGTGGCGTAGGCAAGACGGCGGGTGGAAGCAAATTCAGCGATAGCAGCAGTAAGAGCCGAGACAGACGACGGAGAGGCACGAGGGTCGGTGACAAGAAAGGCGAGAACACGGGGGACAATAGGGCGAGCAGCACGGTAGCCGCCCCTGCAGCCCGCTTGCCACCGGCTTGCGGCCCGCTACGCCGCCCTTGCCGCCCGCTCGCCGCCCCTGCTCCCCGCTCGCCGCTTGCATGCGGCTCGCTCGCCGCCCCTGCAGCCCGCTTGTTGCCTGCCTGCGGCCCGCCCGCCGCCCTTGCAACCTGCTCGCCGCGCGGTTGCGGCCCGCTCGCCGCCCCTGCAGCCCGCCTGCCGCTCGCTTACGGCCCGCTCGCAGCCCTCTTGCACCCCGCTAGCCGCCTCTTGCAGCCCGCGCGCCGCCCCTTGCAGCCCGCTCGCCGCCCCTTGCAGCCCGCTCGCCGCCCCTTGCAGCCTGCGCACCGCCCTCTGGCAGCCCGCTCGCTGCCCCCTTGCGTGCCCACCCTGCTGCTTGCACTGCCCGGCTCCTGCCCGCCCTGCTGCTGGCCACCCTAGCCGTGCACCGCCCTGCCTTGCCTGCATGCTGCTCTGCTGGTAGCGTGCCACCATGCTCTACACGCTATGGCTTCTCTCTGTGTACTCACGTTCGATCATGAGGGCCGTTCGATCCCGTTCGACACGTGGCTCGACGACTTACAGCTATACCTACTGAGCGACTCTAGAGACAGCGTTTCGTTGTTTGACCACACGTTTGGAGCCTCTCTCACCCCTCCCGCCACAGCTGACAGTGCGACTCGCTCACAGTGGCTTACCCGTGACGCTGCTGCTCGCTTAGCCATTCGCAACCACCTGCCGTTAGTCGAATGCGCTCACTTCGGACAGCACAAGACTGCTAAAGCACTGTACGACGCTGTAGTCGCCCGTTACTCCTCCC